TCGAGAAACTAGTGAAACTCGAGAAAGGATATAGATGGTGATGTGATTAAAAAAAATCTGTTTTTCCGTCAATCAGCTGTCGCACCCCTAAGAACGACAACCCTTAGAAGTCAAATTTGTGCGAGCTAAGGATTAAGGAGGTTTTATCTTTTAACGTGTGATTCCTAACACGGGTCGGACGATAGCAAGTGAAAAATGCACCGAAAAATGTCCAAGACATTCTATTATTATTCTAATTTGAGGCAGAGTTGACGAAATCAGTTTCGGTTCTCGACATAATAGCGATAGCAGGCGAAGTAAACCAGTAAAGTAATATTTAAGTATAAGCATAGGTGTTTTCAAGCTGTATTTTTGGTTCCTTGAATGAAGTTGATAATCTGCGTATTAAAATCCCAGAAGCATAATAATATACATTTCATACCGAACGGGTTTTGTTTTTGCGTTTTACATACAAAAGCGAAACAAAAATTTTCATTAATGTTGACGTTGAATCACATATCTACATCCTCAACAAGGCAAAAGCTAATAACGGGGTCTCATTAAAACCCGTCTCGCAGAGCTACAAAACGAAACAAACTCGCGTTACTATTACTCCCGTCCTCGGCAGAATTTTCGTTTGAAAAGAACATAAGCTATTATCCTTTTTTGCAATCGTAATCGCGCTGCTCGGCACAACAATCTACATGTAAATTTTACAGAACAAAGCGAAAACGATTTAAAATACGGCGGCAGGACAAAACCTCCTTATTCCACCCTCTGCTTCATCCCACAATGATGCCAACCGCAGAGACTAGAAATCCCTTTTTGCGCCTCTGATGCAGGGAATAATGGAATTCGCGGAGTCTATTCAAATGAGATTATTACGAAATAACGATCAGGCAGGCCAGGTACCCACGTTTTGTTATAGGCAAAAACGGGCGATTTGTGACTCGTGCCTCGTGCTTATTCTTGTTTTTATCGACGGTGAGAACGCCTGTTGGTCATCATAGAAATTACTGAAAACGATCATTATTTCAGTTACTGTACATATTAAAAAAAAAACCGAAACACGTCAAATGTAAATTATAATTTGACATTATTCAACGTGAACATGCCAGCCCTACCTTCAACCTCATTCGAATGACAGGTACAACCCCCAATTTTTCAAATGGGAGGTATAGGTTTGTGATATATCGTTTGAAAGGTCTCTTCATTCTCTATTAAAAAATGTTATCGCATTCAACAACTAAAATAAAATAAATTAAAATCATATGGTTACCGAAATTCCATAAAATACACTCAAAAACTAAAATGCAATGCAAAACGTAATGAAACGTAGATTACGAAAAATAACTATGGATGGTAACGAAGTAGATGTTCAAAATATTCACCGCGAACGTCTTGGTAACATCCTAATCTCAAATAAAACTGTATTCTAACATTATTTAACATATCAGGCGTGACCAACCTAATCGCAAGCGTTATTCATTCTTTTAAGTCATTCAAATCTGAAATTTTAGTTTTGTACACATTGCTGTTTACATATCCCCATAAAATGAAATCTAATGATGAAAGATCAGTTGATCGCGCTGGCCATTTAATCGATGCTTGCCTCCCTATCCACCGATTGGGAAATGTTGTATCAAGGTATTGCCGTATATTGACTTGGTAATGTGGTGGTGCTCCATCCTGCTGAACCCATATCGTATTCACTGGAACATGAAGATGTAAATTTGCTAAACTTGGAATGACATCAGTTTGAAGTAATGCCAGATAATTATCGCCATTCAAGTTGCCTTCAATGAAAAAGGGACCAATGATATGGTTTCCTACAATCTCTGCTCAAACATTAACCTTTTGAGGGTAATGCGTGTGTTCTTCTCTCATCCAGTGAGGATTTTCCGTTGACCAGTATCGGCAATTTTGCCGAATAGCATGACCGTTTAGAGACAAAGTACAATCATCAAAAATTTTTCTAATTGGATAACATTTTTATCCGACATGTCCATCATTTGCTCACAAAAATGAGTTCTTCTATCAAAATCATCTTCCATGAGCTCCTGAGAAGGTATCATTTTATACGGATGCATTGCGTTTTCATGACAACCCATTCCAATAATTTTGTTCATGTGTTATTTTGTACATGTCCTTATCCTTGATTGTCTTCATATTCTACTGGACATCATTTGTGTTTCGGTGCCTCCGTGATCCAGGACAACATATTCGCATAAAACATGACGAAATTTTTAGATTTGGCTCATCTGAATGGCACAGGATACACTAAAACTTCAGAAAATACTTCATTATACAAACTGATTTTCTGATTTACAAAAATCCCAACTACCTGTTTCTGTGCAACAACTTCTCTAAATGAAGATGTCCGTGTCTGTTTGATGCATTGCTTGCAGTCAAGGTGCCCTATTTTGCTCACTGTCCTCTGAAGGGACAATGTCTAGTGAGTGTCGGTACTTTTTCAGATACAGTGTGTCCCAGCTAAAACTTGTCACCCATTAATCCCGTGAAAATAAATTGAAAATCACTCAGACCCGTCGATTTTTACTTCATGGGGAAACATCATCATTGTGTTGTCAACCCCCTCATCACAAGCATCCCCTACTTCAGAATTCTCAATGGGAGTACTTTACTTCTAATAAATCACTTTGAAGGGAATTCATTCCCAAATACATCGGTGTACTGAAATTGAGGATAGATCAAGTGTTGTTGAAGTTTTAATGAAAATCAAGTTTCATCAAGATATTTTAATTTTTCATCACCTAAAATGTGATGTGGTCACATGAACGTTCAAAATGTGAACCATTCAGTTTCATTCAGAAGTATAAGCGATTTTCGAAATGACTTCAACATTTCTGGAATCTCTGCTCGACACTCCACAACAATTCTCCTGCGTAGATCATCAAGAGAATTTGGCTGTGTAATATAAACTTTGGATTTCAAATGACCTTATAGAAAGAAGTCTAATGGTGATAAATCAGGAGATTGTCGGCCATTCTATTGGCTCTCGCCTTTCAATCCACCTTCCTGTGAAATTGTCATCTAAAAATTGACGTACAGGTACAACAAAATGTGGATGAGCTCCATCTTATTGAAAGGTGAGCTGAACTTCAAGTACAATCATCGTCTTCAAGTAACTTAGTGGGTGATTCTGGGGTTCACAGTTGTATCAAGAAGTTCAAGATACGTTTGCCCGTTGAGGTTACCATCAATAAAAAATGAATCTACAATATGGTCTCCCAGAATACCAACCCAAACATTCAATTTCTGGAGGGTTTGTGAATGAGTTTCCCTGTACCAATGAGGATTTACGTCATTCCAGTATCTGCAGTTGTGCCTGTTCACATGTTCATTTGTTGGGGATGAGCTAAGTACGCTACGTGAATCGCTATTATTTTTGCTAATGACCGTGTGTGCTCTAGACTCTGTGTCATCTTCGACTGTTTGGTAACTCATTTTAACTTCCCGTTTTGTTGTACAATCCAGTGAAGCTGAAGAAAGAACACTCCAAGAAAGGGCCCTTTCAGAAGCAGGGATTTGTGCTAGGAATTCGGTGAGTTCGCTTTATGCCACAATTAATACAGTCCACTCTTGTTTTCATTTTTATTATTTTTTAAGTATTCGAAGACGCGACATTGGTGATGTATTTGGTGAAAGTATTCCCCCTTGAAATAAAAATCGACGGGTGTGAGCGATTTTCATTTTTTTTACGAGTTCGCATAGTAGGAGGGTGACAAGTTTTAGCTGGGACACACTGTATAGTTCCTTTATAAGGGTTTTACTGTAGGCGTTCCCAAGTCTATTAACTCAGTACTATTTATGTTTCTCTTTGATTCATTTTCTGATCGGGTGTCGAACCGTAGATTTTGGTCCTTCCATAGTTTGGTTCAGGGCCAATATAGTTAGAACGATGAGAGAATATCTAAACACTTTTATATTGACGAAACGTTTGTTCTTGTTTGGATACTATCTTGCACTCATTAAATCGAAAAGAGATAGCTATACAAACGTGAGTCGTTGTCAGTTTTGTAAATTTTCAGACGAATTGATGAAGTATTACTATCGTTTGACAGTTCTCATTGTTTAAATGTTTGCGTATGAAACGCTTCTAGGATTTCAATTATTTTCTGATGAGGCTACATTTTCCACTAATGGAATTGTAGAGACCAATATTTCCAGAAAGTCCTTTTCTGGTGTAGGAGCCCGAATAATTGGACTTCTTTTAAGAATCGTTGAAAGTCGATCGTTTAGTTACCTTCCTTGGTGCAAAATTTTGGGTTGCAATTGAACAACACCCTCTTAGTGTGTACAAAGACAAATGGTGCAAACTTGGTTAGCAAAACGCTCGTCGAGAGACAAGCAATTTTGTTCTAGTGGGTTCCAAATTTCACTTTCAACTTCCAAATCCCGTTTTATCTAACGTAGATACTATATTAAAAAAAATATGACTAAGGAAACCTTCAAAAATCATAATTACCTTTGGTTGTAGTATTTATTTTCATCGCAAAGTAAATTTGAGTATTGATGAGACTTTGATACTTCAAACCTTAATGAACTTGATAATTACCAGTTAATAACACCATTTTCACAGTTTAAGAAGATCCATAATAATTATAGTGTATTAGGACAAAGTACAAGTCATTTCATTTTGAGCGTTTTCCATATGAAACTTTTTTTGTGTTTTCTGTTTTCTCGATAAATGAATATTGTATCTTATATACGTATATATATATACGTATTGGACCTCATAATTATTGACAATTAGTCATTAATAACAGGGCATTGGTAAACAAAAAGTAAACTTTTAGGTAGTTGAATAATGTATTTGAAAATAAATTTTATGAGTGATTTAATATTTTTCGATTCATCAAGGCAGAAATTTTTCATTTTCAGGTATATTTAACTTGGCCAGTAGGTCGAATGAAAAAAGTTTTCCATTCCATGGCTGAAACTTTTCATTTCTAGATAAATATATTTGACTTCAGCCAGTAGGTTAAATGAAAACATTGTTTTATATGCAGATATTTATTATAATTAGAATCCTAACACTCCATACTCTAACTTGATTACATCAGAAACTTTTTCACCAATCATTGTACAAATAGCATTGGGATGTCCCGAAAATGAAAAAGGAAGCACGCTTGCGTCAATAACTCTTAATTTATTTACACCGAATACTTTCAGCTGATGATCTACCACGGCTCCTGCTTCTGGATTTCTTCCTGAAGGGCACGTCCCCACGGGGTGGTAAGCTGCCATGGCAGTCTGCGCGATGAAACAAAGCCAGTAGTTCTTAGAAAGAAAATCGTGCTCTCTGCAAGCGGGGAAAGGTCTAACCTCCAAGGTGGCCCCTATCCGCTGGAAGGCCTCAGTACGCGTCAAGTTAACGGCAAGTTGTATCCCTTCCAGCAAGGCTTCCACGTCTAGGTTTTCTGGATCGTTCAACATGTTGTAGTCTATCGAAGGGTAAAGGTATGGATCTTTGGAGATTAGTCTTACCGTGCCTATTGAGTGTGTGTGCAGAAGTACCGGGGTGAGAGTGAAGGGGTTAGGAATGCTAACGTTGAAGAGGGAATCCCAGGTTTCGTCATTCCATCCCAGGAATTTTTTTCCCAGCTCTGCGGGTGTAGAGGATGAGATGACGATTTCTAGGTCGGGGTAGTTTCGAATTTGTTCGATTCTCGTCTTGTACCATCCTGCTGCGTCCAGCGGATTTGCTATTGAAATAAAAACATGCAATTACTATTATTGGATTATATTAGAATTTGATTGGTTTGCAATTCAGCCCCAGCAGCGTTAATTCAATTCATGATTTTTTATTGCTACTTAGAAGACAAGGTATCTGCATATCTATGGTATTTTATTATATTGTTATCACTTCAGTTTTGCTCAGGTTTCTGTTTCAAAAATCAAGAGGACGAAAACAATATGGCGACTCAATGTATATGTTTATCGACAGCCTTCTTTCTCAGATTTTCTGCTAAAATGGAAATCCGCTTCCCATTTACTTGCAGAATTTCACAGTATATCACAATATGTTCCCGGAACGCTCTGTTGTGAAGTTTTTTATCATAAGGGTCCTTTGTGGATTGAAGTCATCCCTTCTCTCGAACCTCAAAAACATACCGAAATTATTTTGATTCCATTATAGTATTATGGTAGGTTCGACCCAGGGTTATGTAACAGAGCATGGTTCAAAGATAGTGTTCAATAACAATAATCAGGCAGAGGAATATGCGGTTAGAAAATAAAATAAAAATGGAGTGAGAAGCACAGAAAAAAGGTATTGATTTAGGCTCAACAAAATTTTAAATGAGGACACTTGGAAACTGGAGACATTGGAATGGTGAAACACAGAGGGAGAATAGTGAAAAAGTAATAGAGAGTGAGAATTAGGAAAGTTACTTGAAAAACAAAAGAAAATGCAAAGCATTTTAGAACAGGAAAAATCATACAAATAAATTCCCTAGAAAGAAATGGAAAATGCGTCTAGAGGTTCAAATTGAAAAGGATAGACTTTTAGAAGAGATTAGTTTTTGTGGTAAAAAGCTTTTTGGCTTTCTATTTATCAATCTTTATGTAACAAAATGAGAAATATCCAAAGGAACTGGGAGATTATTCAACTTCAATAAACTTTTCATAAAGATGTGTAGATATATGTACAAAAATTTTTTCAGATACAAACTGCTTTCAAATATATGAACATTGAATTACACGAATACACTGTTATGGGATTGTAAGAGATTTAATTCACAGGAACGATACACAACATATTATATGAAAGATTATTGAGATTTATTGAATTGGAAACATTTTTGGGAGTGATTAGTTTTTTGGGAAAATAATTTTCTACTTCTTCATCATTAAATAATGGAAACAAAGCCCATTATCGAGATAAAATATCACTTACATGTATATATATCATCCCTTCATCACTTATGTGTATATATATCATCCCAATAATAATAATATTTATTTCACTTACAGTAACAAGAATGACGTCTATGTATAACTAAAAACAAGAGCAGAGTGTAGCACTTTCTTTCAATGCGAAATTTTTTCAATTGTCTTTTGAATATACAGATGTTCATTGAGTCCTTAATAGAAATATCTATCTCGTTATATATTTTGGGTCCAAGGTATAGGTGACTCTTCAGATAGAGGGAGGTTCGATGAGGATTCGCTATCAGCAACCCTTTAGCTCTAGTTACGTATGTGTGGTCTTGCTGGTTGCGCTGGTTTTTCTTTATTCTTATAAACGTAGAGACATATCTCATATACAGGGCTTTTCATGATGAGCGTTAATTAGCCGTTTCTGGCAAACTATTCCACGGATCAACCTGAAAATTCGACAGTATGCATAAGTCAATATGACCTACACGCCTAAAAAAAAAATAAAATTTAGATGAAGCGGCGTTGTCGCTTCTCCTGTCAAGTAGCGGCTTCTTTGATTTTTCAAATGGAACACCCCGTATATAATATCATATTATGATTCATTATCACTTTGTCAACAAATTCATAAACTATTTTCCTAGACCTATCTATTACCGTTTAGAAGATATAAATTAATTTCGATATTTTTTTACCAAACATGAACTTTTATAAATGCTGATAATCTTGAACTCTCTTGCACTAAAACGATCAAATTTGAAATGGAGTGGAGTGATACTATGAGGATCTTCACTCCGAGTCATATTTTCATTTGCCTCATACAGGGTCTTCAAAAAATGCAGATACTTTGATCTCATGAAAAAATGAGTGGAACTCAATTTTTTCAAATGGAACACCCTGTATATTTCAACATTTTTGAGCTCCACATCCAATTTTAGATTAACTTCGTTCAGATAATACTATTTCTATTTTGAACCGTTTTCGAGATAAACAACAGTCATTATTGGGCGCCAGAAAATCTCCATGTTGTCCGCCAAAGAGGTTTTCAAGAAAGATGGCAATTCAATGTATTTTGTGCCATAAAGAATGAGTCAATTTTTTATATCGAGTTTTATGATGATAATTTGAATGCATCAAAATATGAAGATTTACTTAGGAATGGAATTCAAATGATAAATAATAGACCAGGAAGAGAACGTGTATGGTACCAAATGGATGCTGCTCCACCCCATAATTCTCATTCAGTCAGCGAAGCTTCAACCGAAATCTTCGAAGACAGATGAGATGGATTGGTAATAATGGACCTTTTCGTTGGCCTCCTAGAACACCAGATGGCAATCCATTAATTTATGGGTTTATTATTTTCAGTTCGTGTTTCAGCGTTAATAAAACTATTGTTTGAAGAGAAGTTTCATTCGATGGTTGAGGAGTATTTTAATAATTATCTTTTCATTATATTGTCTGTGACTAATTGAGAAACATCAAACGAAATATGTTTTACAAAAATGAGTGATGAACAAGGAAACCATGTCAATTTCCGTTTGAAACAGTTTATCTGAGCTTCTGCATGGGTGTCGCCATTCTAAACTAGCAATTATTCTGATCGCGTGATTTTGTAGAATAAATACTCTTTCAGCAGAGGAGCTCATACCCCAATTCAAGATTCCATAGCGCAAGTGACAGCCAATAGTTGCATAAAACAGATTTAGAAGAACCTCTCTTCCACAATGATTCGACATAAATCTCAGAGCATAACAGTTCTTTCGTAGTTTATCACATAATGAATCTATATGAGGACTCCAATGGAGCTTATGATCTATGAATAGACCTAACATTTTTTTATATTTATCTCAATACTCTTAATTTAATACGTTATGTAGCGTTTCTGTTATTGAATTGAATAGGAAAAAGTGGTGCAATTCAAAGACACTTTGTTTGAAAGTAGTTGGAATGAGCTTCTTCCAATTTGTACATGAAATAAATTTCTGTGCATGCTCCACATCTTTGTGAAGAGTTTATTAAAGTTAATTACTTTTTTCCTTTATATGGAAGTTTCTAACATTTGTTCATCTAGAAATGCGTATAGTGGCAAAAGAAATGAGAAAGAAGATGGAGAAATAAAAAAGTACATTGTGAAAGGACGGTCTTGATGGTCAGATAAGATTTCTGTATAGGAATTGTTTATGTTGCATACATGCCATATAACGAATAAAAAGGAAGTGAAACCCATTATACTAAATCGGCCCTTTTGACTCCAATTTGTACGAAACAGGATTGTAATTCACTGGCAAATTGGAAAATCGGACAAAAAATATATTTTTAATTCATTTCAAGTACTTATTTTGGAAGTAATGAAAAAATAAAAGATGCTCTTGAAATGATATTCTTGGCACCACTAGTAACATTACAATAAAGTCTCCATATATTTTTCAGAATGCAGTTAGAGCTAGTGTTTTATTTGTTTTATTAAAGAATGTGATATAATCTTTTGAATTGTGGAGGAACTTTTTTCGATAATTTTCAGAACAGTGTACCAAACTATACCTAAATAACTCCCTCTCAATGAAATCCAGATCAATTGAAAGAATATCAGTAACTTTTTCTTTTCATTAACAAATCCAATCTTATTTGTATGTTGAACTTACTCATTTTTACGGTTGTGAAGTTATCCACATCCATAAAGTTCACTGAGAAAAAAATATCGAATTATTATTTTTCCAATTACCGACTCTCTATACTTACTATTTTTCAATATGATACGCTTATTGACTGATTTAGTAAATAAAAAGAACCGTCCTAGTTTATTAAACTGTCTGAAGGGGTGAAAATAGGGTTGAAATATTTAAAAAAATCGTAACATGAAAAGTCGACTTTGTACACCTACAATATTGAGACATGTTATTGCTGATGATATATTCGACAGAAAAAACTCCCAAGTCATATTTTTCCAGGCCGTCTGAGGGGGTGAAAATGGGGTGGAAAGTTGAAAAAATAGTATCTTCAAAAATAAAAAAGTTTGAGATATGTTATCCATGATGATCTATTCGACAGAAAAAACTTCACGTCATAGTTTTTCAGGCCGTCTGAGGGGGTGAACATGGGGTGAAAATATCAAAAAATGTCTTAACATGAAAAATCGACTTTGTACACCTACGAAATTTAGATATGTTATTCCTGATGATCTATTCGACAAAAAAAACTCCAAGTCATATTTTTTCCAGGCCGTCTGAGGGGGTGAAAATGGGGTGGAAAGTTGAAAAAATCGTATCTTTAAAAATAGAATGTTTCTTAACATGAAAAATCGACTTTGTACACCTACGAAATTGAGTTATTTTATTCCGGATGATCTATTCGACAAAAAAAACTTCAAGTCATAGTTTTCCAGACCGTTTGAGGGGGTGAACGTGGGGTGAAAATATCAAAAAATTTCTTAACATGAAAAATCGACTTCGTACACCTACAAAATTGAGATATGTTATTCCTGATGATGTATTCGAATAAAAAAACTTCACGTTATAGTTTTCCAGGCCGTCTGAGGGGGTGGAGAGTTGAAAAAATCATATCTTCGAGAATTGAATGTGTACACCTACAAGTTTGAGATATGATATCCATGATGATCTATTCGACATAATGAATCATCAGGAATAACATGTCTCAACATTGTGGTGTACAAAGTCGATTTTTCATGTTACGAATTTTTTAAATATTTTCAACCCTTTTTCACTTTTAACCTCCTCAGACGGCCTGGAAAACTATGACGTGAAGTTTTTTTTGTCGAATAGATCATAAGGAATAACATTTCTCAATTTTGTAGGTGTACAAAGTCAATTTTTCATGTTACGAATTTTTTTATTATTTTCATCCCATTTTCCTGGACGACCTGGAAAACTATGACGTGAAGTTTTTTAGTAGAATAGATCATCAGGAACAATATATCTCAATCTTGTAGGTGAACAAAGTTGATTTTTCATGTTGAAATTTTTTTTAATATTTTCACCCCATTTTCACCCCCTCAGACGGCCTGGAAAACTATGACGTGAAATTTTTTCTATCGAATAGATCATCATAGATAACATATCTCAAACTTATAGGTTTACACATTCTATTTTTGAAGATACGATTGTTTTAACTTTCCACCTCATTTTACCCCACCAGACGGCCTGGAAAACTATGACGTGAAGTGTTTTCTGTCGAATAGATCACCAGCAATAACATGTCTCAATATTGTAGGTGTACAAAGTCGATTTTTCATGTTACGATTTTTTTAAATATTTCCACCCTATTTTCAACCCTTCAGACAGTTTAATAAACTAGGACGGTTCTTTTTTTTTCACTAATTCAGTCAATAAGCGTACCATATTGAAAAATGGTAGGTGTACAGAGTCGGTAAATGAAAAAAATAATAATTGGATATATTTTTCTCAGTGTACTTTGTGGATGTGGATAATTTCACACTTGTCTCATTTTTACGTATATGGATGTAAGGCAGGTCGATAGGAATATTTTGATAAATGAATCATCGAACCTATTTATATACGACAAATTTTCATCTTATGGTTGAAACTCATGATGAATGTTGGCCTAGATCTGAATGGTTCAGTTTTGATATTCTCAATAATGTCATTACCTGCTGTCAAATCACCATATCCTTTCAAAAAATCTTCAATTTGTTCCTTCAAACTTTGGCTAGCTATCGAGGTGTTGCTAGAAAATGGAACACCGCAAAATACATGTTCCCGTAAGGTACTGCCAACTTCTAGGTCTTGAACAATTGGTATGCCCACCTCCTCCAGATGCCTTTTGGGTCCTATTCCGGAGAGCATGAGAATTTGCGGGGATGAAATAGCACCAGCGCTTAGTATAACTTCGTTTCGTACTTTCACCCTGTTGGAAAAATACTTCAATGATTTCTCCTATTCCGAATGGATTAATCGAAATTGAAAAAATGCCACATTGAGGAACTTTAATATAATGTAGAGTTAACATACCTACCTATAAGTTTTATTATTTTTGGTGAAGATAACACCGGTGGCTTCTTTGAGGTCGTTGAATTCAATTTTTGTGACGTAACTTTCCGAGGAAATTACAAGGTTCCTTCTGTTCTTCACTGGTAGTATAAAAGCAGACGCCTGGTCTAACCTACGCCCTTCTTTGGTGTTTATTTGCAAAATGGTGGCTCCCAATTGGTTTTTTCCATTGTAGTCCGTAATGTTATATCCCAGTTGCTCATTGGCCTTGAGGAAGATTGACGAAAAGTTGGATGGTGGCATGTGATAGTTTGTGTGAAGGTATCTGTAACAATGTTTGTTTGGATGTGGTTGGCAAATGTTTCTTCAAAATAAAATGGCAATGTTTCTTGAAATAATAATAATGTCATTTATTCATGATTAAAAATAATGAAAATAAAAGTACAAATTACATAAATGGATGAACAAATAACTGCTAATCGAAAAGAAACTTAATACTTGTTTCGAAGTGGTGACACAGGAATAAAAATACATAAAATATATAAAATAATCTTACAAAAGTCCAAACGTTTACATTTTTTTAAAACATATATACACTTCACACATTTGCTCACACACCTAGACATACGCACACATATCTGTCTGTCTGTTTAAAATCTGTTATTCCGTTAATCAGCTGTCGCCCCCATACGAACGACAACTCTCAGAAGTTGAGAAACTCGTGCGAGCTACGGACTAACGAGGTCTTACCTTTTAACGAGTGATTTCTATCACGGTTGCAGAATCATCCCAGCTTCAACCAGATAAATTCTCTCGAGAAAAATATCTGGTCGAGGCAGGAATCGAACCCACGGTCTTCCGATCGTGAGTCGGGCGCACTACCACAGGGGGCAATTCCACAACAATAATAATACTTAATAGGATATATACATAGTATAAACCAGATTACATTTCAATAAATTATTGATTTTTTTCCTTCGTTAATGTCACTAATCGAACTTCTAGGCGTTTTTGAAGAAAATCTAAGAGGTTTTTTTTAATAGAAAAGAAATGTTGATGCTGGCTATTTTATACGGAAGAGAGTTGTATAGTTTTGGTGCAATATAAAAAAATATATTTGTCCAAAAGATTTTGACATGAAAGGTACAATATAATTTTTTTTGACGGGTACCATAACAATAAGTTGACACTTGTACCTGATGTTTTATTGAATGGTATTTCATGCTGACTAAGGTAATACAACTGTCTCAAGTCTCAGATGGATACATTTAGTTTTTTGATAATATCATTCTCAAGAACCTTTTCTGAATAATTTCTAACGGTTTGAGATGAGTTTTAACAACCCCACCCCATCCCTGAATAACGTAACGTAAATGGCTTTCGACCAAGGCATTATATAATGTCTTCAAATGTTCATAATCAAGTAACTTTTTTAGATATTTAAATTTGTAGATTATTGTTTTGGAGTTTTTCTATTACAAATATGATATGATGATTCCACTTCAGATGGCAATCTATATAGATCCCCAAATATTAAAATTCCACAGATTGGAAAGAGTAGGGCTTACTTTGAATGTTGACTTCAATGTTTTGAAAGGACGGAATGTTTGACTTATTACATGTAAAAGGCATATAGTCAGTTTTATAAGGGTTCACAGCGCGTAGTTTGTGATCCAGCCAGTTTTTCATCAATTCAATGCCTCTTTCGGCTTTTTTCTTGAGAGTATTCCAATTCTTATCTTTTTACACAATGCCCATGTCATTGGCGAATCCTATAATATCACCATTATTTTTGAATCCATCAATACCGACATTAAAAGCTTTATTTATTAAATATGTTGAAAGTTGATTCATTTTTTTTGATATATTTGAGAGTTTCTGATGTTATTCAACAAAAGTAATTTTTTGTGGAGGAAAATCAGTTTTTTTCGACCTTTTTTTGGGTATTTTTACCTTCCACATTTTGAAAAATATGAAAATTATAATGGAGAACTTTATACAGGTAACTTAACGGTGTAAACTAAAATGTTTGCCCTTTCTACAAGGAACTTTAATATAATGTAGAGTTAACATACCTACCTATAAGTTTTATTATTTTTGGTGAAGATAACACCGGTGGCTTCTTTGAGGTCGTTGAATTCAATTTTTGTGACGTAACTTTCCGAGGAAATTACAAGGTTCCTTCTGTTCTTCACTGGTAGTATAAAAGCAGACGCCTGGTCTAACCTACGCCCTTCTTTGGTGTTTATTTGCAAAATGGTGGCTCCCAATTGGTTTTTTCCATTGTAGTCCGTAATGTTATATCCCAGTTGCTCATTGGCCTTGAGGAAGATTGACGAAAAGTTGGATGGTGGCATGTGATAGTTTGTGTGAAGGTATCTGTAACAATGTTTGTTTGGATGTGGTTGGCAAATGTTTCTTCAAAATAAAATGGCAATGTTTCTTGAAATAATAATAATGTCATTTATTCATGATTAAAAATAATGAAAATAAAAGTACAAATTACATAAATGGATGAACAAATAACTGCTAATCGAAAAGAAACTTAATACTTGTTTCGAAGTGGTGACACAGGAATAAAAATACATAAAATATATAAAATAATCAAAATTATAATGGAGAACTTTATACAGGTAACTTAACGGTGTAAACTAAAATGTTTGCCTTTTCTACACTTATATATAGTAATCCATTATAATTTTCTGATGTTATATTGTCAATTCCTGGAATTTTACTATTTTTCAAACTCAAAATTGTTTTCATGCCCTCTATTTCATTCATTTGCGACAAAAATATTGTTATTGGATGTTCATTTTGTTTGTGTTTAGTATTTGTTACACAAATTTAGCTTTTGAAATTATTTGCCATTTCTTCACCAATTTTTTAAAGCGTTCATTATAGAAATTATCAGTTTTGAATCAGTTGTTTTGCTGCCATCAGTATTCTGTACCTATTTTATGTTATATTTTTTTAAAAATTTCATTAATAGTGCCATAAATAAATACTTTTAGCGATATTTTATTGTTTTATTTATTCACTCGGTACAAAACTCTGAGTCAGGATTATGCTGGTATAAGGAATTCAATTAAAATTAATAAAAACTTCTGACAATGAGAAAATATGAACATTCAAATAATTTCAATTTGATGATCATCATTGAACTATTCTTTTGTGTTTTTTTGGAATATATATGTTGTCAATATTATTATCGTCATAACACTTTCAGTTTTTTTTTAAGTACTTTAGTTTTTCAATTGAACGATTGAAACTGATTTGTATTTTGTTCCGTAAAATTATTTTTCCTAACAACTTATTTTTTTCTCTGGTGAATTTTATTATCGAGGTAGTTTTCCAAGGGTTTCTTTCTTTGAGTTTATTTTCAGTACAATATTCTCATGTTTTTCAGTTTAATAAATCTTCCTGTTCAATTTTTTCTTTGAATTCTCTATCAAAGAGAACTAATTTGAATTGTTTTAATGAAACTTTTTGTATTCTTTCCGGGGACGTAAAATGGGTCATAACGTAAGTAAGGATGTGTTAAATCCATTTAGAGTATTGAAACAATATATGAATTTTTTTTCTTTTAGCAATTACCACATCTTAAAACCCTAGTCTTCTTGTTGATTGGTCTGATAAATAAAACTTTCTTCTCCAATTACATTTCAATATTCATGTACATTATTATCATTTTCATTCGAAATATTAATATCTCTTATTATTATGTATATGTACGTCAACATTTTAGGCAATTTTTCAGATGATCATTAATGAAATTTGGTCCAGTTGTTGGACGTGGTTTGTAAATTCCATTGACAATAATACACACCCGTGTTAGGAATCACACGTTAAAAGGTAAAACCTCGTTTAGTCCTTAGCTCGCACAAGTTTCTCAACTTTTGAAAGTTGTCGTTCGTATGGGGGCGACAGCTGCTTTACGGAAAAACAGATTTTTTTTTATTATTGATTGTAGTACTAAATTCCATCACAGTTCTATCTCAAAATTTCCAAACAGTAGAAAATTGTGATCATTTTGATTATATTTCCCTTCATTGAAGAACAGCTGATACCCATCGAGATTAAACACAGGTGTATCACATATATTTGCCAATATATGATAATTAATGCTCAAAATCTTTACCCATCTTTGCCGTGATATTCCTCGTCCGCCGGCGCGTTGGGGTTGTTTTTATGGAAATCTTCGGATTTCTTGAAGTATTCGAGGACGTTTAAGTACCTCCAGCTGGGATCGTTCACAATTTCCGCCCATATGTCGTAGTCTCTGCTGTTGCCCCGGCTGTAGACAAGCTCGTTGATGAGTGACGTTCCGCCAATACCTTTACCTCTAGGGGCAGCGCATTTGTGGTCGACGGCGCCTGCAAAAATGGCCATTTATTTTAAAATGTAGTGTACTGTACCTACTTTTATTCCACCAGGTAGTTTGAAGAATAAACAGACATGACTATGGGAACATAGCCCGAAATGGACATAAATATCTTTTTTGACAAAAAGGTAGTTTCAAAAGTCTTCAGAGATGTGAAATGAAAATAATAGCAAGCGCCAAACGTGATGGCGAGCAGTCGCGCAGGTATAGACTCTCCCAACTATATTACGATAATCCCCTTGCCGGCCAGTGTCGTATCTATTATTAGTTTTAATCAGGGTAGCAAATGGAACATTACTTCTTTGTAATTTCTTTTCATATTTTATTTAGTAGTTCATTATATAATGTTCATTATATAATGATACAGTCTTGATTGGTTTTTTTTTCACGTTTTTTTTTTCACGCCAACAGCATTGGAGGACAAGTAATGAAATCCTCTGTACAGAGCATTTGTATGTCTTGCAAGAGTTGTAGTGGGGCTTACATTGAAATGAGGCGGACTCGCCATCATGTTTGGCGCTTGCTGTATTGAAGTAGTCCATTGAAATATTTAATTTTTCAGAGCTTAGCGTGCGTTTTTCAGAGGATGCAATTTTATTTTGTTGATGTGTATGAGCTTGAGTTCAAGTTTGTGGGGTCGTAGCTCTTGTCCACCGGCCGCCATCTTGTGGAAAAAAGTTAATAAATTAATAATAACATAAGAGTGTTGAGAAAATGAAACATTATATAGATAACAAAATATATAATGGAAAACTAAGCGTATTACGAATATTCAAGAACCCGGTCAACTTCGGAGCGCTGTATAACCCAGAAAAATGTATGAAATTGAACAAATTTGTAGTGGAAATTATTCATTGAAAAAACCCGCTATGAGATTGCTCTGATGTCATTTCATTGTAAAATTACCAGAAAAAGATATAACGCTCAAAAGAAAAGTTCAAACATTTTCTGTAATTTTTGTTTATAATGTTTTTATTTTTCATGAAATATAATAGGAGCTAAGTTGTAGGCAACTCAATTTGCTACAAATAATGTTTCATAAAATTGTCTGTAGAGTTGCTATTTTATGATATACAGCGCGAAAACCCTTTGCACCCCCTTTTCCAAGATGCCAGCCGAGGGATAAGGGTTGCGACCTCACAAACTTGAACTTTAGCTTATACTAACACCTCTACACATCAAAGAAATAAAATTGCGTCATCTGAAAAACGCAACCCTAAATGTAACTTTTCAATGAACTAATAAAGTCCGATCGCAAAATGAAGGCGAGGTTGTTGTAGTTGTGAGTGTTAAGCTGCGGGCACGAAAATGGCGACGGTCGAGCGATAGCGTCACCCAGCTCTAAAAAGCTGGGTTTTTCCAAATTCTACTTTCGAAGAGGGCGAAAAAAAGGGTTAGACCTTCTCACGGTAGGCGAAGACTGCCATTTCAAACAATAACAAACACAAAAATCGGTATATAATTTCTTAGTCAGATATAAAAGGAAACATCGATATCGAAGCTTGTAGCTGAGTAGCTCCAGAATGTACGATTTTTTAGGAAAGACAAAAAACATTTTGAGAAATTAAGTTGTCGTTGTATAGTTTATCGTTAACTTTTATTTTATAGCTGATGTTTGTGGATACTTGTTTCTTTTAAAAATTTTGGCTTAATTTGTTTATAGTAACACTGAGATCTACGCTTTTTTTCTGATCATGCTTTGTTCGTGGGACGGGGTTTGTTCCACTCATCCAGTGAAACGACGGTTCAAGGCTGGACGATAGGCTATAGTCCGACCCCTGCACGTTAAACGGTAGACCTCGTTAATCCTTAGCTCGCACAAGTTTCAACTTTTTAGGGTTGTCGTTCGTAGAGAGGCGACAGCTGGTTAACGGAAAAACAGATTTTGCTCGAGTTAACGCGTTGCCCTAGTACTAGAAAGATACCTATTTATAAATAAGTGACATTCTCATTTCATTAACTGAAAACTTTGACTCTAACTTCTAGAAATAAACTTCATCTAGATAGTGTCCTGCCGTTTATTTCCGTACTTTTGATTGAATAATGAGATTTATAGGGCCCTGCATTTTCATCATAGACTCCACCATTTTAAAAAAGTTGCTTCACCGGAAAAGTTTGTACAGGAATGTACTTGCCCTGGATTTGAATATTGTTTTATTAAATACATAATTGATTTTTTTCAATACTTTTGGTTTTGTTAATTGGGTTTTGTTTAAATTATTATTTCTATCAAATAACTGAAATATACGACGGAACATTAATCCGCTAATATGTTCAAACACAATCAAATCGACGTGTTTCTTACCATATTAGCAACATAAAATAAAATTATTATTATCATATAATTTCTGCCTTTACCAAATTTCTGAAAGTTCAAGGGTATCCAGGCTTCAATGATAGAAGTAATCTTTTTATTACTTCAGAATTTGAATCTAAACTATGTTACAGTAACAAATATGAAATATACAGGGTAAGCTATTTAGAAAACAAATGTCAGTTCTTTCTCGTCGTAGCGTCTACATTTTACAAGTACAAGTAGAATATCTGTCAGGGTCAATGTCAAGAATGTCAACACGTAGAATGTTGCTAATTCAGCATATCTACTTTCAACAGAAGATATCAAAAATCAAGTTTTTTTTTCAGTTTCATGTAGTGACAATTTCATTTTCATTTAATTTTTTGTCAGCCAACATTTCTAATAAATTCCGGAAATAAGATGTTCTGTTGCTAATAGAACTTTATCAGAATACCCTGTTTATCAGTAAATATTGACTTGAGAAAGTTTTGCAATAAGACTTTTTTTGAGTACATACTGTGAATTACATCATACCGAACATTTCTAACGAATACATCAGAAAAAATTTTCGCGAAATCAATAAATTCTCAATCTTTGAAGCTCTGTATATCTCAAACCTGTGAGGTTTGAGATGCACAGGGTGTTTTTATCAAGACGACCTGAACTACAAAATATTGAAACTTATTAATATTGGTAATAATATGAATTTTATTAAAAAATAATAACCATGTTACGATTTGTCCCACTCAGAATCAAAAATAAAAAATGTTTTTCAGATATTTCAGATACAAATTTTAATTGATTTTTTATAACGAGCATGTAAACAAACGAGTGAAACACTTTTCGTGAATATGTTGCTAATTACACAATGCACAAGAAAGAAGAAGTAAGATTGGAAAGAGAAATCAATGATTCCTAATCTTACATTAGATTCAAGCTACCGATTTTTTTCTTAAAGCCTATTTTGAAAAATTTACACTGTTTTGACCTGTATATCCTCTGACCACACCTGTCTGTTATTCTACTATCCATTTTGCAACTTTCTATCAAGATTTCATTTAATAAGTACTTGAAGTGGATCAATTAGCAACCGCCATCTGGTATTTACATTGGACAGTAAACCCGATTGGTAGGTATAAAAACCATAAAGATTATTACACCAGCTGCCGAAAAAATAACGATAACCGAAAAGTGGTTTTTGGACAGCTGCCAACTACCTCATGGCCATTGTGATTTGACTAGGTTATTTTGTGTGTAGAATATTTCTACTTTCTAATTTCAAAAAGCAACAATAGGCTAATCTCTTCACGTGGTCACTCGATATTCAATTTTTAAACCCTTGCTTAATCCCGCACTTCTATATTTCCTGGAGGCAGTTCTGAATGTTCATCAACAATAATGTTCCGTAATAATATTCATTACCACAAAATAGGTGTAATTAAAATTAGTTTCGATAATTTCAGTCAATTGAACTAGATTCGGTTTTTGTCGAGTTCAGTTAAGCGGTTATAATTAATTGATGCAGTAGTGTGCAGGGATCTTTCTCTTCCGATTCGTAGTCTTTCATTTCCAGTTCATGATGAAGTCTGTTAGGAACATTTGAATTTCTACTATGTTCAATATTTTTCATTATTTCATTTCTCTTTTTCTTCTCATAGATTACAAATTTGTCACTTTTTTAGACAAGGGAAGTCTGAACCTACATTTGTAACTAATTACTCGTATGTAACGGCGAACATTTTACGTTACGTCTGGTAGTATTGTTGCATATTTGGCACGCGTAACCGTTACAAGCCGCCCGATCATTTGTTGGTTTTGAGCCGTTGGTCGCATCAAAAGATTGTTATGTTACGTACGGCATTGAGTTGGGACAATTATTTAGGTATCACATATCTTTGCCTGTGTAATGCAGGGTTGTATTGTAACCTCTTTCGGTTACGTTACGGAATAATTGAAACTGACAATGCTCAAATGCTTTTGGAGCGAACTGTGTTATTTCATAAACATACGAACATATTTGGCGTTATATTCGGGGCATTGTATATGCCGTAACAGGGTTGTATTGTAACCTCTTTCGGTTACGTTACGGGATAATTGAAACTGACCAAACTCAAATGCTTTTGGAGGGAACTGTGTTATTTCATAAACATACGAACATATTTGGCGTTATATTCGGGGCATTGGATATGCCGTAACAGGGTTGTATTGTAACCTCTTTCGGTTACGTTACGGGATAATTGAAACTGACAAAGCTGAAATGCTTTTGGAGCGAACTGTGTTATTTCATAAAGATTCGAACATATTTGGCGTTATATTCGGGGCATTGGATATGCCGTAACAGGGCTGTATTGTAACCTCTTTCGGTTACGTTACGGGATAATTGTAACTGATAAAACTTTAATGCCTTTGGAGCGAACTGTGTTATTTCATAAACATTCGAACATATTTGGCGTTATATTCGGGACATTGGATATGCCGTAACATCAATCACATTCAAACTAGGTATCGATGCTTCAGATGTATAACAATGTAACAAACTTTTAAATGTAAAATTAATAAATAATTTATATGTAACATTGGCACGTGACAGTTTTAGTTTATTTTTCATTCTTTTCGGTGGACTTTGACTGGGTAAAAGTATAACCGGGGATATCGCATCACTTGACAGAACTGGTCAGTCTATGGAACTACGTCTGCCTGAAATTCAATATGGTGGAGGTGCACCATCTTGGCGGAGAGCCACATCAATTTGAAAGAAGATTGGATTTAATAGAAGTATTTCTTGAATCAACGAGGTGATTCGATTTTGTTTTGTTTTCCACCCGGCGGGAATAGGAAAACAAAAACAAATGGTAGGTGGATAATGTACTATTAGTGATTAATTTAGTTTATTTGAATGAAATATAATTTCGATTTTGCTTTTTTCAAGAAATTTCAAATAATCACACGTTTACAAGGACCGGTCCAACTGTCAAAAACATTCAGTAATATGGTCTACTCTCATATCCACTACAATCTAGAGGAGGTAGAAATCCAAGACATAACTTGATGAACATAAAAGAAACAAGTTAGAATAAAGAAGAATCACATATTCCTCCTCAAAAGGTTCAATTATGGGAAATCTATTGAGCCCCTTACTTGCGGAAATTTTCTCGGATAATCTAGAGAAGTCGATTTTTAAACATCCTTTGATTAAGAATTTCTTGTATTGGCATAGATATGTGGATGACGTTTTGGTATGTTTTACAGGTACCTACTAAGAGACAATTAGATAATTTTCATAGGAATATTAACAAAATTCATGAAAACATTTAATTCACTATTGAAGTAGAAGCAAACAACTCAATCAATTTCTTTGACTTGAAGTAGAATGAACAACAAACATGATGTTTAAAGGTGATTGACAATGTTTCATGATGAATTTCACTAGTTCGGATTTCCATTGTATACTATATAAAATGATTTGAAATCCCTGAAACAACTAAAAAAGAGAAGAATTAAAAATGAATAGCTGAAAATAACAAATATATTAAGCAAAATAAACCTGAAATGAAATAATAGTGAAATAAAATACAAGTAAAAATAGAACAATGGACTAAATAAAGAAATGAAAAAAGAAAATAAAAATAAAAAGTGGCGAGACTCCAAGTCACGTTAGTTTACGACTTTTCGATTGTTAGTATCTTATCGTCTTCATTAGTCAGTCATCACCCGAAGACGATTGTAGATACTAACAATCGAAACGTCGTGAACTAACACGTGACTTGGAATCTCTCCACTTTTTTTTTTTTTTCATTTCTTTATTTTTTTTATTTATTCAATTGTTCTATTTTTACTTCTTTTTTATTTCACTATTATTTCATTTCAGGGTTATTTTGCCTAATATATTTGTTATTTTCAGCTATTCATTTTTAATTCTTCTCTTTTTTAGTGGTTTCAGGGATTTCAAATCATTTTATATAGTAGACAATGGAAGTCCGAACTAGTGAAAAACAATCATGATTTTTCAATTTGTCACTAACCGTCCTATACGGTTAGTGAGGTCTATACATTACGATTCTACCCATCCATATCAACACAAAGTAGCAGCTTATAATAGCATAATTCACAGATTAGTCAATGTTGCTCTTTCAATAGATAATTTCAATAAAGAACTTAATATCATCAAGCAAATTGCGGTTAACAATCGGTTTAAAGCCGAATTAATAAACAAAATACTTTCCAAGAAAGTCTACGCAAAAGCGATTCGAGACGTTTTTCCTATTGATGAGGTAGATAATCAAAATTATAGAGCTTCAACGTATTTCGGAGAAACAGCGGAAAAAGTGGCTTCATTTTTGAGGAAACGAGATATTAAAATTGCATATAGAACAAGTAATACGTTGGGAAAATTAGTTAAAAATAATAAAGACAAAACATCCAAAATTTGAGAAATCAGTAGTATATAAATTAAAGTGTGGAACGTGTCCTAAGGTATATATTGGTCAAACTGGCAGAACATTTAGGAATCGAATCCAGGAACATCATATGAGCTATGTAAATAAGAAAACAAATTCAACATATTCAAATCATCTTCTAGAAGAAAATCATATCTTTGACGAAGAGTTCGCAATTTTGCACATAGAAAATAAAGGTTTGAAACTGAATCATTTGAAAGCAATGGAAATTAATAAACTTAAAAATTCAAACATTCTAATGAATGACCAACTAGATTTGAATAGATCACCATTATTGAACTTGTTTTCTTAAAAACCGAGAAAGAATTCTTATTGATGTAGATGTGAGGTAATATGCTTCAGGTGATCATAATTGAAGAGGTACTTTAGGTAGAGGTTTATGTAATTTTTTGGAGGCAGTCTCAATTATGGTTACCTGTAGTATTGAAATATTAGTGTAAGAAGCAATTTGAAGTATTCAAATAGCCAAAAGTTGGTAGAGATCAAATCGTGAAGTGTAGTTTATGAAATTACAATGGATCTTCATCAAGTAACGGCCGAATCAATCAGAAAAAAAAAGAAGAAGAGTCATAACCACGAAGAGAAATAAAGAAGGTTTGTCGTAATTATTTTTCATTGCATTTGATCTGGAATGACTTTTACCTAGACACGCTGTTTTCTGTGGGGTACTCATGAAGCCCCAATTGTAGTCACTGAAGATCGCCGCACCAAAGTATCGAGGAATCATAGTGAAGTTGTCGGGGTATTTTCCAGCTTCGAGGAGCAACACATTCCATTGTTTTATTTCTGACAGACGGCTCGCCATGACGGAACCCGTCGAGCCGGCACCGATTACGACAAAGTCGAATGTACCAATATCTAAAAAAAACAGTGCTTAATAATTTAATCAATACTTCCTACATTGGTCGTTGACATATTATAAGTAAAATTTTTTTATACTTGCAAGTAAGTGTTCATATAAACGGGTAAACGCTCATATACAGGGTGGGCTATCGAAAACTTGACATGGAGGTTTTGGGTACTAATCTTGCAAATCCAAAAAAACGCTCAGACAGGTCGATTTTTATTGGGAGGGGAACAGTTTTTTTACCCATTTACAGCGTCGACACTTCAACCCCGGAGCAGAGGGGTGAACAACTCTTGGAATTTTAATAGGGAACTGCGCCTTCCTGTTGAAACCACATGTCGTTGGTGTCCAGATCATCCAATTCAGATCAAAAGAAGTTGATAATCATCAACCTATAGTGTTCGCCGTTGACAGTGGTGGCCTGGCCAGCGTCGTTCTAAAAGAAATATGGACCGATGACGCCGTCAGCCCAAAATCCACACCGAAGAGTGACTTTTTCGGGATGTATTGGACCCTCTTGGATTTCTCCAAATCGACAATTTTGTTTGTTCGCGTGCCCATTCATCCAGAAATGGGCTTCATCGCTGAAGATGATTTTTCGATGAGAATTAAGGTTAGTTGCCAACTGCTTCAGAGCCCATTTATCGTTTACCTTCAGTTCCTGGGTCAGTTAAATTTTGTACGGGTGCAGGCCCAAGCCACAACGCAAAATTCGGCAACTGGTGGTCTGCGAAAGCCCAAGTTCTTGTGAGCGACCCGAAATCGACTCTCTCTTATTCTCCTGCACACGCTCACAGACAGCGGCGATGTTTTTGGAAGATCCTGCGTTTCGTCAACGTACGTCGTGTTGGTCGATCGTTTTACTGAAGCAGTAGATTCAAATTTATCCACCACATTGCGAGTAGTCCTCTCGGTAGGACTATTATAGCGACCGTACAATGGGCGAAGCGCCCGGTACGTTGCTCGAACAGAACACCCATTTTGATTAAACAATTTTTTTATTTGCACGTGTTGTTGAATGCTATATCCGTCCATGGTGATTTGGTAAAACATACTGAATAAATGAAAACTAATTTGACAGATGTAGCTTCAACAATATGACTTTTATCAATTGTCAAAGTTCTGAAGTCCCTGTTAGAAGACTATAGATATAAAGGCAAGCAAGTGGTGAATGAATTAGCATTGTTGATAGAATGATTGAATTCAAATATTAAACAGAATCAGAAAACAGTTTGAAACCAATTCTCAACGAAATAGTGGTCTTTTCAATATTTCTTGCAAGTATGTGCTCATACAAACGAATAAACGCTCATATCTATAAATGGGATTAATGCAGACACATGCATGCATTTTTTACGGTTGCAAATAACAACACATTTTTTATTATTATAATTACATTTCATCTAACTTGCAATGTTCGTATGTATGTTAGTTCGTGTCAAATCTTACAACTGAATTTTGAAGCACTTTTCTCACTGATTCGAATATACCAAAAATAACATGACATCACTCTGAATATATTATGACGGACCTCCATGATGAAGGTATTAAGTGAAAGGGTTTACCAAAAAAAATATACGGAACATAAAATGACGTCACACCAAATCCAATATGGCGGACCGCTTAATATTAAGCCGGTCCGGCCGAAAATCTGTAATAGAAACATTGAAAACTATAAAAATTTCACAACACACATGGATTCTGATATGTCTTGAGGTCTCCTCTCTGAAAAATTGTTTTGAACGGCTCCTGTTGGCCACACTGTATATACGAGAGCATCGGCCGACAGGAGTCAGTTTCAATTAACTTGCAGATTAGACCGAAATCGAAGAAGTGGCAATAAAATAATGGCAATAATTACAAAATATGATCTAAGTATAGTAACAGCGGAAGGTTCGTAACAATATGTTAGATTAATAAAGTATTCGTGATTGTTTTTGAGTAGGTACAGACATTTCCTCTTACGAACACACCATCAAATTTTAATTTTTAATGAGGCGTCTTCCGCCGAACAAGATACGTTTTTTGCAATCCTTCGAACTGTCTGATTGTTTTGTGCTTCGGGAAAGAATTCTACTACTATGTGAATAATCTACTAAAGCTACTGTGAATCAATCATATATGTAGAAATACAAATATACAGTGTGTAACAACGAAAACAACAGAGCCGTTTTTGAATATAAAAAGTAAGATTTTTAAAAAAAGCTCGGACACATCGATTTCTAATTAAAGGCTAATCAGATTTTTTGTAGTACGCACCCCCTCGGAGGGGTGCGTCCGACGACCCTTATTTAGATAGGGAAAGTAGGTCGAGTGGCACCTTGTTTTAAAGGTATTTCGAATACCTTTACATCTCTGTTAAAAGAAAATTTTTGTAACGATTAGTTTTCGAGATAATTTGAAGATTTAAAGGTATTTTTATTGAGTTCAACTCTTTTTAAAATAAATCAAATTGTTTTTAAGGTACAATTTACGTTCAGAACTTTCATAAAAATAATACATTTTTGCTTTTTATGACACCCTGCTAATACGTGTCGTGTCCATTTGATTTCGTAAAAAAGTAAGAATTATTTGTTTATTACGAGGATATTTTTTTGGGGGATGGGGTTGGTTACCACCCTTACATTTTAGGTAAATTGAGTGGCACCTCCTTATGAAGGTTGCGTTTTGACTTGGATATTTTATGCTTCTGATAAAAAAGTGAATCATACTAAAAACTTAGCTACACAACAAATACAACCTGCTGATTTCCTTGAATGCTGATGACACAGAAAATTTTAAAAAACTGTTTTAGGGTTAATAAATCACAATAATTGTTTTTAAAGCACACACAAAAAAAGTAACACCTGATAAGGGTAACTCACATAGGAAATTCAGAGTAAATGTTCAAAATTTTCGCCATTTTGCCCCATGCAACAATAAAGATTTTGTTCGAATTTTGCTCTTACATTATTCAACATCTCAAGAGTTATAGCTCGGCAATCATCAATAATTCTACGACGTGATTCATCCCAATTGGCTGGCTGTGTAGCATAAACTTTAGACTTTGAATATCCCCACAAAAAGTAGTCCAGTGGTGTTAAATCTGGTGATCGTGCTGGCCATTCAATTGGACCTCTTCTGCTAATCCATTGTCCTTCAAAATGATTATTCAAAAAAAATTCGAACCCGCTGGGCATAGTGGGATGGTGCACCGTCTTGTTGAAAATGAATAAATTCATCTTGACATGTTGGACCCTGTTCAATTATTTCAACTATACGAGGTTGTATTGCCTCTTCAAGAAGTTGTAAATAAGAATCACCGGTTAAATTTCCATCAATGAAAAATATACCTATAATATGTTTGCCTAATATTCCGGCCCAGACATTCAACTTTTGGGAGTGTTGGGTATGTATTTCTGCGTATTGTCTTGGGTTTTCATCCGACCAATAACGGCAATTGTGACGGTTCACGCAACCATTTAAATAAAATGAGCTTTCGTCCGAAAAACAGATGTTATAAAGCAGCTCGGGATTTTGCAATAATCTCTCACTCATGCCCTCACAAAACTCCTGTCTTCGGTCAAAATCATCCTCATTGAGTTCATGAACAAGTTTAATTTCGTAAGGATGGAATTTGTGGTTTTTAAGGATTCTTCATGCGCTCATATGGCTTATTCCGGCCATTGCTGATAAACCTCTGGTACTTAACCTGGGATTGGCAATGACTTGACCAATCACTCCAATCGCATTATCGTCATTCACTACCCTTCTCTGAACGTGATTTCTGCTTAGGTGTTCACCAGGGTTTTGCTCGTTAAATCAAAATTGATGTTCTATTAGCATTTTGGTCGTTGCCAAAAAATAAAGTAATAACTGAAACCCTTTCAGCAGTAGTGTAAGGCATTTTTAAACAAATAACAATACACGACCCGTTTAAACAAAATAATCGAACGATGTACCAATGAAAACTGGAAGAAGAGGAGTGGGTATTGATTTTAAAAAAAATATTTTATTTAACAAAGAACTGATAAGAAGAACTGCTCGAAAAATTTTTTATTTAGGCACATACAAGTTACCGATTGGTCTGTCTAATGTATTATTAACATGGCAATTTTGACTTCAAATTATCTCTAAAACTAATCGTTACAAAAATGTTCTTTTAACAGAGTTGTAAAGGTATTGGAAAGACCTTTAAAACAAGGTGTCACTCGACCTACTTTCCCTATTTAAATAAGGATCGTCGGACGCACCCCTCCGAGGGGGTGCGTACTACAAAAAATCTGATTAGTCTGAAAGGTGTCCCCCTTCAATTAGAAATCGACGTGTCCGAGCTTTTTTTAAAAATCTTACTTTTTATATTCAAAAACGGCTCTGTTAAGTTTTCGTTGTTACACACTGTATACGGCGTTCCAACGAAAACTTGACCCCCCTGTAAGTCAGAAACGGACGTGTAATCGAAAATTTCAAAGAGCACATCAATTTTTATTTCTAGGGGAATTAATTCTGATATGGAAATCATACCCGAAACTTCCCCCTCCTGCGGTCAGCAACTACCCCTCTATTTTTTTCAATGACATGGGGGTCGAGTGATACGTCATTTGAAAGGTCTTTTGTCCCTCTATTACTTCTGTATTTTTTACCGAAATTGGTTCATTCGTTATTGAGAAATTAAATGTTGAACTTAAGAAAAAGCAGAAAATTCGCTGTCGCTCATTTCATTGAGGAAATTAACAAAAGTAATATCAGTGGCAACACAATCAACGGAATGAGGTTTCAAAATGACCTCCATCTAGTTCCACACAATAATACAGTCTACTTTTGAAAGCGTTCCGGGAATGCCGATTTCTTATTCCGGACATCTTCAATAATAGACGAACGCTTTTGAAAGTAGACTGTATTATTGTATGGAACTAGATGGAGGTGATTACGAACACTTTATCCGTTGATTGTGTTGCCACTGATTATACTTTTGTTGATTTTCTTAATATAATGAGCGACAGCGAATTTTCTGTTTTGTCTTAAATAAAACGTGCAACATTTAATTTACCAATAACGAATGAACCAATTTCGAAAAAAAATACAAAAGTAATAGAGGGACGAAAGATTTTTCAAATGATGTATCACTCGACCCCCCATGCCATTGAAAAAAATAGGGGGGGTAGTTGTTCACGGCAGGATGGTGAAGTTTTGGGTATGATTTTCATATCAGAATTAGTCCCATTAAAAATGAAAATTGACGTGTTCTTTGAAATATTTTATTACACGTCCGTTTCTGACTTACGGGGGAGAGGTCAAGTTTTCGTTGGAACACCCTGTATAGTGTTATGTTGGGTTCCCGAGAGGAAACATAAGTGTTGAATGCTGGGACCAATTTCGTTTACACAAATAAAATTGATTCATTACAGATCATAGTACTTACACAGGTTTATTTTATTCTTAGAAGATGACTTTTTCACATAAAAAAAATGCTTAAGATATTTGAATTATCCCTAAAGATTGTCTGAGTGATCTGCCATTTCTAAGATTTGGTTTCAAATACCTATTTCTGATCATTTCCTTACAGCCCAACTCGTTGGAAGGAAATTAATTATAACACAGGTGTTCCTTCTTTCGATATACAAAAACTTGCCGTTTTCCATGATGAAATTTAATTACGATCCTTTTTACTTTTTAAAAGTTAAGGCCCCGTGTAAATGAAGAGAATAATCAATAAGTGCGTTTAAAAATTAGAAATAATCGTGTGTTTACCTTTTGGTACGGTACTGGTTGGTTCGTACATTTTAGCATCGACAGGCAATTTATATTCCAAGGCCTCCTGGACTCTGCTGTTTATCAACTTTTCGTAATACTCTACCGGAGTTTCTGCAGCGCAGAGCCCGAACAGAAATATCAGTATAAGCACCCACCGGAACGAAAACATCGCTGGTTGAAGTAAACTCGTTAACTGAACCTGAGTTGCCCGAGACAGGTGTTTATCGGATTTTTTTATTATTTCGACTGTATTTATGTATGTATTTGTCGTTATTAGTACAATGGTGATAAGATTCGTTGAAGACTATTTAATCTCTTTTTTTTTTATAGGAACGAGGTGAGTGTTCCGTCAGTTGATATTTTAATTTTCATTTTGTTTAGTTTTATGATCTGACCAAATAAGTGGGGAGATTACCTGGACGAACAGGCAAAGGAATTATGGTTTAGTAGCATTTCAAGGTCGATATAGGTATTCAATTATGATTTTTCTGCATGGAGGTTGCTCTCAAGGTTAAGAGTAATGAAATAATATCAGTAGGTGACGAAATCATCTTACCTGCTTCATTATCAGGGAGTTGTTTACGTGTGGTTTCTGATCTCGACATCTCCTTGTCGCAATAATTTTTTCATGGAACTGAACCAAACTACGCAAAACAGTAATAGACATTTTTTTCGGTGTCAACGGCATCGACTGCTATGTTCATTAAATTCGTGTTCTGGGTATACACTGTTAATAACTTCCCAAGCCACCTAGGGAGCATCATGCAATTATTTGGTCGAAAATGATTTTTAGCCACTACAAAATATAATGAAGCATTACAAATCGCCTCAAAGGAAGCTTCACTTTGTAAAATTTATCAATAAATAGTGATACTGAAAATGTTGAATGATTCAAATTCCCAAAAGAATTGTGTGAAATTGAATAAAGAACACAGTGAACACGGCGAATGTAGTCATCATTTATATCTTGAGGTCAAAGATCACCAATAGAGATTTTATGAATACTCGAGAATGCTCTAGCTAGACAACATCATAGTTAATAGAAATTAGAATCCGAAATATTCTTATTAACAGTCACAACGTATCTCTATCTGAAAAGATAGAGGCAACCCACAGGTAGAACTGGAGCTTCTAGCGTAAAATAAATCCAAAACAAGCACTGATCCCAAACACCAGAACTGCAACACTCTTCTCGACGTACGTTTCACCAACCCAGTTAGTGTCTTCAGGAGATGAAAGAGAGTAATTTTCAACTCTAAACCTGACCTATTTGTATCTAACAGGGTACACATTTACATGATTTCGGGTAGAAATTGACGGAAACTTTACTCGTGACTTCCTGATATAATTTTGAATAGATTTAATATCATGCTACACTTAGACAGTGTTCATTTATACTTTGGCCGTTCTCCAAGGCGCTCTTTTAGTCTAACCAATGTTTTTGTCACAGTCCTCACATATCATTTTATATATCACTGTAAGTAGTTTTGGAGAAAGTGTATCTAATAAATGTGCTGAAACGTCCCAGGCCTGAGAAACAAAACGGTTTTTTTGTTTAAAATTGGCTTTATTCATCAACGTAATCCCCAACGTAATCCGGTGAGCATTTTTTTGAGGTCTGCTAACTGTCAGTAATCGCTGGGAGCCAAATCTGGCGAATATGGTGGATGTGGGAGCAATTCAAAGTTCAATTCATGTAGTTTTGCTCTTGTTTTGATTGACTTGTGACACGGTGCGTTGTCTTGATGATACAAAATTTTGATCTTTTCCTTATGCGGCCGTTTATGCTTTCGGGCGAGGTTCACCATTTGCTCTCCACTTAAATGATGATCGTTTTGATTCCGGAGGGAACTGATGGATCCATGTTTCATCCATTGTCACATATCGACGCAAAAATTCCAGTTGGTTATATTCAAATATGGCCAAACCCTGCTCAGAATTATCAAGACGTTCTTGTCGGCACCCACTTTGAACAGAGCTTTCTCATACTGAAATGTTCATCCAATATAAAGATCATTCAAACCGATTTTGTGATTTTTTTGTTTTCTGGTGTTACTGTCTCATTTGGACGTCCGCTACGTTCCGCGTCATCGATGTCTCTACGACCACGTTTGAAGACAACAAAACAACGTTTGATTATTGTTTCTGATGGTGTGACACTTTTCAAGCCATTGCTTCGCTTTAACGATATTTTTCCCATCAAACAGTGTAAAATCAAAAACACGAAGTTGTTTTTGATCCATTGTTTTGAAAATAACATAAGTAGTGACACTCTTAGCACAATAACTCACAACCTTTGAATATAATACATTGAAATCACGTGGTTACCAAAATAGTCGAAACTTATTTCATGTTGAGGTATTTATAATAAGAAAGGGAGCATAGCTATGTTCTCTTTAGATGGTATTCTTTGTAAATAATTTCCGAGGTAACGTCAGTTTAAAACGCCTTGTTAACTTGTTTACTATGATACAACATTAGTTGTCAGTTCGAGATTAAAGTTCATTAATTTCTAGCCTGACAAATGGTTAGATTAACGGAAATGCATAAAATAACAGTTTCACAAATGATTGGTTATGGAGATAAAACCCGAACACAACCAGGAAGTAGCTCGCCTATTTCATGAGAAATCTCCTAGTTTTCCCCCCTTATCTCAAGGAACAATAAGCAAAAATTGAAAGGCCAGTTTCATGAGCTTGGTCATGTGGGGCAGATAAAATAAGCAGCTGCCAATGCAATGAGTGATGAAGCCAAATTAGGTGTGATGCTTGAGTTTGAGGAAAACCCACATATATCGCGTAGACATGCATCCCCTACATTCAATGTTAGGCATACATCGATAGTAAACATATTTAAAAAAAAGTAAAATGCATCCGTTAAAGTGGTTCCTACTCAGGAGCTCATGGAAGATGATTTTTATATTTACATGATGGACATGTTGGGTAAAAATATTATCAAATTAGAAGAATTTCTGATTATTGTACTTTGTCTCTTAATGGTCGGCAAAATTGCCTCTACTGGTCAAAGGAAAATCCTCACTTGATGAGAGAAAAACACACGCAATACCCTCAAAAGGTTAATGTTTGTGCAGAGATTGTAGGAAACCATATCATATTATGATTGAACTCAATATTTTCAACGTGAAATTATTTTAACAGGATTTTTCTTTTTATCAGTTTCGATTTATTTTTGTATTCATAACCCCTTCTGATCCCTTTCGACGGGCGCTCTCATGTTGTGATTTTCACAGATCGTTATTATGATTGAATTCGATTTTTTCAATGTGAAATTATTTTGAGAGGATTTTTCCTACTATGAGTTTCGATTCATTTTTGTATTCATAACCCCATTTGACCCCTTTCGACGAGCGGTCTGGTGTTATTTTCACAGATTGTTGTTATGATTGAATTCGATTTTTTCAACGTGAAATTATTTTCACAGGATTTTTTTTTTATTCATAACCCTATATGACTCCTTTCGACGGGCGGTCTCATGTTGTGATTTTCACAGATTATGAAATTATATGAAATTATTTTGACAGGATTTTTTCTTCGATGAGTTTCAAATTATTTTTGTATCTGTATGCCTCGTGCGTATTCATGTTTGTATCGAGGGTAAGACCGCCTGTTGGTCATCATAGAAAGTACTGAAAATGATCTTTAATTCAATTGGTACATACAGTGTGTAAAAGCCAAATGAAATAAATTCATTATTTCGGTTACTGTACATATTTAAAAAAAAAAACTGAAACACGTCAAATGTAAATTATAATTTGACATTCTTCAACGTAAACTTGCCACCCCTACCTTCAACCTCATTCTTCGAATGACAGGTGCAACCCCAATTTTTTTTCAAATGGGATGTATAGGTTTGTGATATATCGTTTGAAAGGTATCTTCATTCTCTATTAAAAAATGTTATCGCCTTCAAATTTATTGCTTCAACTAAGATAAAATAAATCAAAATCATATGGTTACCAAAATTCTATAAATACACTCAAAAACTAAAATGCCATGCAAATCGTAATGAAACGTAGAATACAAAAAAGAACTATGGATGTTAACGAAGTAGATGTTCAAAATGTTCACCGCGAACGTCTTGACAACATCCTAATCTCAAATAAAACTGTCTTTTAATATTATTCAGGCGTGACAGACCTAATCGCAAGCGTTATTATTTCTGTGCAACAACTTCTCTAAATAAAGATGTCCTGTCTATTTAATGCATTGCTTGCAGTCAAGGTGCCCTATTTTGCTCACTGTCCTCTGAAAGGACAAATTTTAGGTAATTTTTTAGATACAGTGTGTCCCAGCTAAAACTTGTCACCCCCTAATCTCGTGAACAAAAATTGAAAATCACTCAGACCCGTCGCTTTCTATTTCATGGGAAAAAACCATCATTGTGTTGTCAACCCCATCATCCTCAGCACCCCCTACTTCGGATTTCTCAATAAGACTACTTTATTTCTAATAAATCACTTTGAAGGGAATTCAATCCCAAAGACATCGGTGTACTGAAATTGAGGATGGATCAAGCGTTCTTGAAGTTTTAATGAAAATTAAGTTTCTATTTTAATTTTTCATCGCCTAAAATGTAATGTGATCATATGAAACGTTCAAAATCTGAACCATTCAGTTTCATATAGAAGTATAAGCGATTTTCGAAATGTCTTTAACATTTCAGGAGTTTTTGCACGATACTCCAGAACAATTCTCCTGTGTAGATTATCAAGAGAATTTGGCTGTGTAATATAAACTTTGGATTTCAAATGACCTCATAGAAAGAAATCTAATTGTGATGAATCAGGAGATTTTGCCGGCCATTCTATTGGTCCTCGCCTTTCAATCCACCTTCCTGTGAAATTGTCATCTAAACAAAATGTGGAGGAGCTACATCTTGTTGAAAGTTGAGCTGAAATTTAAATACAATCATCGTCTTCAAGTAACTTAGTGGGTGATTCTGGGGTTCACAGTTGTATCAAGAAGTTCAAGATAGGTTACCCGTTGAGGTTACCATCAATAAAATATTGATCTACAATATGGTCTCCCAGAATACCAGCCCAAACATTCAATTTCTAGGAAGTTTCCCCTTACCAATGAGGATTTACGTCACTCCAGTATCTACAGTTGTGCCTGTTCACATGTCCATTTGTTGGGGATGAGGGGGTTGACAACACAATGATGATGTATTTGGTGAAAGTATTCCCCCTTGAAATAAAAATCGACGGGTCTGAGCGATTTTCATT